TCCCCATGTAGTTCCAGGAAATGAGTTTACTATATCTGTGACAGCCATCGTGTTCGCACAGCCTTGGAGCAGCAGAGCTCGGCGTGGGGTTTTTCCACCGCGAGCGTTAGCCGGGCAAGCGCGCGGTTACGCTCGCCTGCAGCCATCCTGCGCTGTCTCCAGCCTGGCTCACCTCTCCCCGCTGGATCCCTGAGGGCGCTGGGCTCCCTGCAGCTTCATCCAGGAGCAGCGCTGGGGAGCAAGCCTCTGCGTCGCACCCGCCGAAATGGCGGGGCGCTTTAGAGAGCGTCACTCCGCAATTCTCCTTTGAGGTGGAGAATGCCTTCAGGATCATTTTGTCTAAATATGGCAATCCAAGGTTTTTTGAGCCACAAAGTATAAAAACCACTTTTCCCTATGGTTTGGATTGCTGCAGTGAGTAACGCTGATTTCTCAGTTTTTTTAATTTAAAAAAAAAAAAGTGAGGGCGGGGAAAGTAATGGTAAATATTCATCACTTGGTAACCCAAAAGAATTTTGTTTTCTTCATCCATATCTGCCTACCAATTTAATGTTAATTCAAGGCATGAGCAGGCTGCACTGGGAGGTTGAGTTACTGTATAGTACATTCATTTTAGTAATTTAAAAGAATGCCAAAGCAAACACAGTTTAAAAAAAAAGAACCCTAAAAAGTAAATGGTGTAGTTTGTTGCCCTCCATATGGTTAGCTGTCTCAAAGGTCATAAAATGGTGGTCCTTTGGTGGGACAGCTGGGTTTATGTAGCATATGCAGATTGTTATTTTGGCTTTAAGCCAGATCTACCTAATTTTTCCATTTTGCGTCTATGATGAGGAGAGGTGGTTAAGGTGACTTCAAGGGGCAGTTCTGTGATTTCATTCATATTCGTATTAAAGAGCCTTTTAAGAGTATTTAAGATTAGAAACCAGTCTAAATAAAATTCAAGTGGAAAAAAAGCGAAGTTCACTTGTTTTATCAAAAGGCTGAGCCTGCAGCCAGGCACAGCCCCAACTCGTGCCATCTGACAGCCAGCACCTCACAGCTATTTATGCACTGCAGTTACTGATGATTATACTGCGAGGTGAACCAACAGAAACCAGAAAATCTACATTGCTCCTGTAGCCTTCCAGAGCGTCGCTGTTTCTATCTGTGCGTTTGTATACATCTATAGACATAGGTGCTGTGCATAGAGCAAAGAAGAATTGCACACATCCAGGAATCCTCTATGCCATGACTACTGCAAATTCAGAGGAGGAGTATATTTTGCCGCTTTCTTGCTGCCCGCCACAAGGGTGGCATGCAGCACCTGGCCGCTTTGGCAGATCGGGTGCCGGCGGGCTGCTCCCCGCCTGGCACACCACCAGTAAATTCCCCCTTGGCTGGTCCTGCCCCATATTGACCGCCCCCCCAAGAAAACAGTCTAGCGCTTTTCACCTTGTCATCGTTGGCAGCGCTCCTGGGCCGAACACAAGTGCCTCTCTCTGCTGGGAGGAGCAGCCACCAAAGGGAGCTGGAGCTGTAAGAAGTGGCTTTTCCCGCTTAGAGTCCTGGAGGGACCGTATAAGTGAAGAGCTTTTTCCAGCGAGGTAAATGGAGTTTTCTGTAACAGAAATAACCTATGTAAAATAAAAATGAAGTTGGCAAGCAGTATAAAGGCTTAAGCTTAATAAATGCAATATTTAGTAGTGTGTATTTGCTGCTGAGTTTGTAAAGAAAACCAGACTGCAAAGCTGGCGGGAGCTACCAACTGAGCAGCAGAAAGAGGAATGTCTTGAAGTGCTCAATAATCATAAGGCAGCGGTTGCCTTCTCACCCAAGGACAGACTGAGTACAGTGTCCTTCCTGGAGTGTATTCGTCTAATACCCATCAACAGTAACTTGAACAACTGACTGAGAATTTAAAAAGATGAGACATTGGTTAGTCTATTCCGGTCTACGGGTAAAGGTGGTATAGGAAAGAATAAGCTCTTGGGAAACCCAAATATTTTCACCAAAAATATTTAACCCCATTCACTAGCTACAGGTAGTGCTTTCTATGCTAATGTCTATTTTAAATGCAAGCATTTCATGATCCTTCCTCTACACTTTTTCTTAGCTAGATAGAACATTAAAGATCGCTTCTTTATTTTTAATTCAGTTTTTGTATATTTTAATCATTTTAGTCCTATCTAAATAAAACTTTACAAATTGATAAACTGTGAGCAGTCAGTAAGTATAGAGCATATATCACCATACATCACTGTAATTAAAGAACAAAGAACTCTGTGTACTAAGTTCTTTAATTACTTAGATATATGAGTAGAGACAGAGATTTCAGTGTAAAGAACTATGAAGTTTGGTGTAAAAGCTCCTTTTAATTACAGAGGAGCATGTTTTAATCGTTAACAACTAATGAAAACCATTTCTCTTTGAGAGAAGGAATTAAAAGTAAAAATGCAAAATAGAATTAATGCTTTAAATATTTTTTTTGTGATTTAGAACAGCATTACGTTTGGTAAGCTAGTCAACCTATTCTCTCTTTGTATCATATTCTTCCTACATTTCAAATTACTCTGCTGTAATTGGTAAGCAAAACTGAGAGGGAGAATACCTCTTTCAGATATAACTTTTTTCTTCTGCACCAGATGTGTGTGACGCAACGAAGTCAAACAAATATGAGAATGTCCAGCCCAGCAGCACTTGGTGTCTCGTGTAGTACTATTAAAATGAATGGCTTTCAGTTGTTTTTCTTTCATTCCTTTACTCTGAAGTAGGAAAATGTGTGTCCATTGTCTGAAGATTAGAATGTGTTTATAGATGTAGATGCCCTAAGCTATATGAACATTAATCATTTAAAATGTAAAGAAAGTAGTTCATGTTCACATAGATGTGCTCTACCCTTCTGTTGTACTTTTCAAGATTTAAAATCATGTATAATACATATTTTTTGTCTAAAGATCATTGCTGTTGTGTTTGCTAGCTGGACTTACTCATCTTTTATTACCTCTTGAAATAAATGGGTTTGCCTTTGGTTAAAATTCCTCTCTTCCCTCAGAAGTTTTTCTTGATTATTTCTCTTGGTTGAAGGTATTGCATGTGGAATCCCAAGAACAACTCACTTTTCCTACTAGGAACCATCGATCCATCCCTTGGCCTTACGTGTAAGCGATTGTGAAAATGCGTTTCTCTGTAGAGCTGTTACGTATGTGTTAGCTTTGCTGGCAGGTGCTTCAAGACCTCAGTTTAGACTGCTCACGTGAGCAAAACTCTGCCCATGATAAAATCCCGTTTTGATTCACGGACTCCTTCTGAAAGTGGTCACTGCCGCAGGGACCCGGTTGGAAACATGAAATGTTCTTTGTTGTCTGCTTCCTCCTTGTAAGTTTTGTCTTTGCTGTCCTTCATGGCCGGACGCTTTTGAATTCCTCCAACTTGCAGAATTAGGTTTCCATATCAAAATCCAGCTCTTCTTCACTGCAACAGTTTATCTATGTAGTCATGTAGAATATGGGGATTTCTGTTTGGCATTTGAGGCAGCGCAAATAGAGGATATAAATATAAGGAAAGAATGAGCAGCAGAAGCCAAGAGATTATCCTGGAACGAAAAAAAAACAGTTCTTATGCAGACCTTGCTTGTAGCAAAGAGCAAGGAAGTGAAGTAAGGACTGACAAGACTAAAATTAATCTATTGGTTTTAGAGTCATGGAAAACAGCTTTAAGATGTCCCCCAGTCAAGTGGCTTCCCTCAGGAGAGAATCAATTAATCTGCTCTTAAAATCTTCCAGAGATACGGCTTTTGTAACTTGTATGCTCTACCGCACTGCCTAACTATCCTTGCCATGAAAACAGTTTTTTACTAACATCTAACTGGCATCTTCTTGCTTCCATGCAAGCCCATTCATCTTGCCGTGTCTGGACCCAGGTGTATTCTAAGGCTATTATTGTCATTTCCATGGGCATCACATTCTCTCTGAGTAACACATGAGACTTGGATTGGAGCACTGAGGTTTCAGAAAACCTAATTATAGAAGCTAGTACTTCATCAGTGTAACATTCATCTCCACTTCTCCTAAAAAAAGTTGCAGTTACTAGAGGGGGATACAGTGATGCTACAGGTCAGTACTTCCAGCTTTTACTGTTCTCTTCTTCACAGTTGACTTTCAGTTACATTTCTGTCTTGGAGAAGAAGAAAATACTTAGGATGCTCTGGCAGCCTGTTGCCATCTGGTAGAAAACAGCAAAATGATTGCCTTGAGAGTTTGCTTTACACCTTGTTCAAATACATTAATCTCCAATGGTAGAATAATCTATTGAGGGAGGAGGCAAAGAGGCAACTCAATATTTTTGTTAGTAACTCTAATTCTTTATCAACAGTAAAGGTGTTTTATTTCAGTTTACCAAAGCAAAAGTTGTCAGGTGAAGAGAAACAGACTGAAATCTTCCAGTCCCAGGGCACGACAGGAAGATTACTCTAGTTCAATTAACAGGTATAACAGGACGAGAAGGTCAACAGGCACATTTGGTCTTGAGGTGCCAACAATGCTTCAGTGCTAGCCTGAGGTGGATTCAGACTGATACGTATCTGTTTAGAATTGAACAATAATAAGGCACGTAGGAAATAATTTATTAGCTCAGCTCAGCTGTGTGCTGGATGTATACTTCACATGCATCAGGCAAAATTTCCAAAGCTAGGCAAGATTATGGGTTTCTCTACATGTAGTTTATGCTCATAATTGGTATGACCTAATTTGCATTTGCAGATAACCTTTGCCAATTAAGATCCTTGGTGATTATATGCAATGCCAAATGCCATGTATGAACTTGCCATATTTAAACATGCAAGTCTAACTTCAAACATCTACATTGTTTCATCTCTCGCTAAAAGTAAATACATTATTAAGGAGACAGATTGAGGTCATTTGTATCAGTAATGCAGTAGGGCCATGCCTTAATCTTTTTTAAAAAAAAGTTTAGGTCTGGTCTCATTAATCAGCACCCACCATGTTGCTTTTTTTTTTTTACAGAACATAGGAAACTTGGCAATCTGACTGTGACAGTGAAAAAGACCGTCCCCTCTCCAGAAGCAATACAGATCCTCTACCAACGCATGAGATATGAATATGAGTTTTATTACTATGTCAAAGAACAGTTCCACCTGCTAAAGCGCAAGTTTGGACTGAAGTCTCGTATCAGGAAACCACGTCCCAGACCAGAGTTCTTCATTCCTTCTCCCCTGGAAACAGAGGAACCGATGGACGATGAGGAAGATGATGAAAAGTGGCTAGAGGATATCTATAAAAGGTGATGGATGGAAGAACTATTCTTTCTCTTCTGGTGATCCCTCCAGCTTTCTTAAGATTTTTTTTAATTATTATTAAAAGTAATTTCTTAAGGAACTGAGTTAATGCGCAGCAGCATTTGAAACAGAACGAAAGAGACCATTCCCACATGCTGAGGCCATCGGGAGATACCTGGTTTTGCGGGTTTGATTCATTGTATGGTGTTGGCTCTATAGCATCCTTGCTATAGCATAGTTAAGAGAGAAGTATCTACTGTCTATCACAAAATAACTTTTGGAGTACACAATAGTCGTCCAGGCACCTGCAAAATGTAAGAGAATAGATTAGGTGGTCTTGCAGAGTAAATTTTACAGGCTCTTTTTTCTCTCTTTCTCCAGAAACAAGTCTTCATTGCATAACACTGCGGCATTAACTACCGGCAATGCGGACTATGGGCAGTGAGCCATATGGGAAGAGTGCCTCTTTCTGCCCAGAGCACACTGCTATCCCAGTGGTACGGCCAGAGCCACTGCTGTGTCTGTGCACATCGAGGATAACAGGCTCAGAAAGGGGCTAGATAATGCCTTCAGGATTACCCTGTGCGGGAGGAGCAAGGCTGCTATTCTGGCAAATTAATATTAGTGGACATAAGGCAAATTACAGGAACTAGGTGTTTTTGGTAAACCCTTCTAGTTCATAGAGTGGAAAAAGTTACCTGGTCAGTGAATGGCAACCACAGACGAAAAGTGCAAGGCAGGGTTACCTAAACTGTAGAGTTTTGTTTCTGCAGTTGAGTACTTTTATATTAGACTCTGAAGGAAAAGGTGCAGCGTACACTTTTTATGTTCAGGAAGGGTATTTGTAGATTTTTATTCTTCTTATGAGTCACAAATCCAAAGAGATACAGAAAAAGTCACTCATTAAAAACATAGATGATCTGGAACTCCTATTAAGCATGACTGGTATTTCTGTGATTGCAGAATTTAGTTGTTCACTTCTGAAGCTGAACACAGCTGCCCCACCAGCGCAAACACCAAACGCCTGCTTTTAGCATGGCTAGAAGTAAAATTAACAGTATGGAAATACACAACTTCCCTAGTTGAAATACTTCAGAATGAGAAAACAAAGAAAAGAAGGCGGCTTACTCTGCGAAACCAAAGCCGATTCAATGATACGTTGTTAAGAGAGTCACTGTGAAAGTTTGCCCTTAATCACTAGAAGTAATATCGGCAAACACTAGAAAGGGGATCAGTGGAGGCTGGGAGGGGCAAGGAGAATAGCTCCGATATGTGACATGCTGTTGTCTTTAAGGTGGATGTCCCTGGGGTTCCCTGTGACATGCGGGCTTGCCGGCTATTCGACAGCCCGCCGGGATTGCTGGTGCAGAATTGACAGCCCTGCGCGCAGCCATGGGCAGAGCTATTTGGCCATCTGCTCCATAGGAGAATAGGGAGAGCTGGGGGTCTTGCTGAGGCCTTGGCCTCTTGTGCACCGTTGTTGCCAAAGGAAGCTGGACTAGTAGAGGGTAATAGCAATAAATTCCTGTCCTAGAGCACAGGAAAGAAGCAGGGCCGAGGAGTTGCAGCTCCTTGCCAGGATGAGTCCCAGTAACACTTCAGGGGCAATGCACCTCTGTCTAACTCACGTCCTTTCTCAAACATCTGCTGGGCAATTTCTGCTTCCTATTCTGCGGCTGCCTGAGCAGCGTGTCTGCCGTCTGCAAGGTCATACTTCCGTTTGCAATAACAAGCAAAAGTTATTTTGTGATGGACAAGGCGTATAAACTCGAGCTAAGCTCAAATGTACGTTCCAAGGGTTTCCTCTTCCATGAGCCTGCTGAGAGCCAATAAACATTATGGCACATTTTCATCACCAGTCAGTCTTTACTGTACCTACATGCAGAGAACGAAAATAAAGAAGTGTAATCGTGTTAAGACAAGATGCTAACTTACAAAAAATATTAGGTAGAAGATTCTGTTCTCATTATTAACATCCCAGGTTGGTGGTAGCAATGCACTACCATGGGGGAGCACGTTAAAGAAAGCTGAAAATGGCACAGATAACAACTAACATATTAGCTAAAATATGAATCTGCTGCATTGTATATTTTAAGTGGTTTCTATGAAATTACATTGAAAGAGTAATGATTAGTTTACACACTGTGGAGTTGTTATATTTTGGAAAGAAAACTAATATTCTCACCTTTCTGAAATGCTGTTTCAATCCTTTTTGCCAACATTGTAACAGAATAATCAGTCACTTAACACATTCACCCTTCCTGCAAGTTCACTGCCGCTTACCATAAAGTCTATTTTTATCTGTTTATTTAATGGTATCTTCAGCCATCATTACTTATAACCTAAATACAAATCCTGTTTAATGATTTACTCGCTAGGTTTTAATGTTGTTGTATTTTTCGTAACAATCAACCTGGCCTCTCCTCCTTGAATGGTACTTCATAAATTTATCTGGCACATAGCGTCTAAGATTCCTGGTCCTACGGCCTATTTGTCTGTCATGAAATATATTTTACTTAATTGTTAAAAGGTACGTTTTAAGCTGGTTAATCTTTGACTTATTTATTGAAACACATTCCAAATTCTAAGTTGCTCAGGAAGAAGTTGATTTAAATGATTATATTTTGGTCTGATGAATATTTCTTATTCCAAAAAAAAAATCATTGTTTGTAAGCCTTTAGCCCACGACAGCTTTGTAGGAAGTGCCATGCATGTACTGGTAAATCTTTGTGGGGGGGAAAAAGGTGGGTGCCTGACATTTATGAAAGTAAGAAAACATATGTGTACATTAGCTTAGCTATAAATGAAAGCAACGTATGTTTTGGGATAAAATATTCTTTAACTTATTCACTACCATCTCCTGAAATATAAATAAGCCATATGACTCTCTATTTTTCGGTCCAGTGATGTTTAAAAATAAAACTTGTACATTTCTTCCTAGTGCCATAGTCCACTTGCTTACGCTAGTTTTCTTGCCTGGGTACAGCAGCTGTGGGTAAGATGTTGGAGTTGCACCTAGCAGAACAGGATTGGATACGGCATAGTTTATCGTCTAAAAGTCATACTTTAGCAGCGAGATTGGGGTAGGTTATTCCTGGGTTATTCTATGTCCCGAAGTGTCTGGAGGTGTGAGAGTGAAGGCGGAATTATTTTACTCACCTGAGACGTGCAGTAAGTAGCCTGAAGTACATTGTGTCATGTGCTTTGTGGCTGCTACGTAGAAAGAAGTGTTATCCAGGAGAGAAACAGCTTGGTCCCCATACACTGCATTTTACTAGACATGGTATTTGATGGCCAGGCGTAAAAGCTCCAGTAGTCCAGAGTGATGTTGTAATGTAAGTAAAACATCAGTGCTTTCACACTAAAGAGAGAATCAACCGTTGTTAACATGCAGCATTCTGGAAAAAATAAATTTTAGTCTTAAGTTTCAAGTGACAGTGACAAATGGTGCAGTTTTTTGTTCCTGTTTAATTTACTTCTCTTTATTTAATGTAAAGGTAGATTTTTTGACTAAGAAAGGAAACCACACTGCATGCCAACTTGGGTCCTCTTATCAAATGAAAAAACATCGTCCGCCAAAGAGTAAAACTCTACATCCTCTTAAAAAATAAAGGTTTGTAATTCCCAGTTAAGGGTAATGGTGCTCTGATCTTTCCTCCATTTTAAGAAGGGGAACATCTGTAGCATTAGACCATAGCCTGAAACAACACAGCAACATTTTTGAGAGCAAGAATACTGTAATACAGTACCACAGGATTCCTTCTGTTTTATTTGTAAGGAATCAGCCTTTATGGCAAAGAGTTCAACACTGTCGTTCAATCTGCTTGCATGAGCCAAGACCAGAGACTCCATGGGAAAAACAAGAAAGGTCTCACCAAGCCTTGGAAGTGCCTGTCTAGTGGTGTTGGAATCACCGGGACCACTTCTGCAGGGTCTATTACTTCTGCAGGGTCTGTCCCAAGGGAGTGTTCGCAAAGTCGGGCTCTGCTTAGGTGCCCACAGGTATGGTGGGAAGGGTGCTGGAAGGCAGCTCTGTGAGAAACAGCCATTGGGGGGTGAAAAAACTCCCTGCAAAATGTTAGAAGTGGATGGATGGGATCTTATTTTGAAGGTCGAAAGTTAAATCTCAACCAGCATAAATCAGTTGCTGATGTCTCACTTAAAGCTGAAAACCTGTCATACATTTTCTTCATTTTGTCCAGAAATGACATTGCATGCCAAGCTGCAGCACAAAGTGAACTTCAAAGCTCAGTTGTAAGCTTTGGAAAATAGGTGTGTGTAACAGAAGCACCGGCACACCATAGCAGTTGTGTCCCAGCACCGATGTCACCAATATGCTGTCATATTGGAAGAGCCTGGAGGTGGGGTGGAAGGTTGTTCTGGGGGCAACAGGGGATGGGGAGGGGGTGAGGTTTTCTGCAAATACATATTTGGCCTTTCAGTTGTCATAGGATGGTAAGCTTTGACCAGTGGTATATTTGAGTGTGGACTCGGAATATAAACGTGTGGATTTCCTTTTCTGAGTAGGTAAAGGAAGAATGAAGTCTGGTTTTGTATTTAACTGATTGTGGCTGAAAGGGTAAGTTAACAACACTGCTGTCAGGCAGGCATGGTAGGAGTGTGCTTTATGCAAATTTTTGCCATCCTTCTGTTCCCTTCTTTGGATCCGATGGGGAAAAAGGCCGATGGCAAAGCATTCTGCCACACTTCAGGGGAATTGGTGCTGTGAAAACTAGAGATTAGCAGGAACACATGGAGGCGATGCTATTCAGCATTAAGAATAATGGTCTAAACGCTAGGATGATATACAGCACCCAGCAGAACTGTTACACAAACTGCTCACTCTCTTTATGGCTTTGGCTCATCTGGAAAACTTGAGACCATGCTTCAAAATCAACTGCTGCTTCAGATTTGTGATTTGTATTAAGTTAGCGTTTTTTTGGCTTTTTCCATGCACTTCCGAATTGCCACTCTACCTCAGAAACCTGGCAGAGTACAGGCACACAGCC